TACTTTGAGTGACTCTTTATCTCGTTTGATGTTTCAGAAAGCCAGGGAAATAGCACCTTATTTGGATTCGGAGCCTTTTCCCGTTCCACTGCAGTTTTTGTCGGTTTAGATGGAGTCGCTTGTAAAATCCTGGAATCTGCAATGTCACCGTCGACATTGACCTCTTACAAAAATTATTGGTTGAAATTTACTCAATTTTGTCATCATAGAAATTATCCTACACTGTTGCCGATTACTCAGATTTGTTTAATAAATTTTTTGGCATTTTTATTTGATTCTGGGTATGCTCCCAGCACCATTGCCTCTTCAGCATCTGCTATAGGGTATGTGCATAAATTATCTTCTCTCGAAAATCCGTCCGATTCCTTTTTGGTTAGGAAATTTATCAAAGGTGCCCAAAATTTGAAACCCTCTACAGATAGTCGACTTCCAATTACTAAGGGATTGCTGAAGCGTTTGGTAGTGGCTATACCTATAGTCGTATCCCTACATTCTCACCAAATTTTGATTAGAGCCATCTTTACTCTCGCATTTTCAGCCTTTCTTCTTTATGGGTGAAATATGCTTGAAATCAAACAAGGATCCATCCTTTGTAATTCAAGTCTCGGATGTTCAATTTGAGTATACAGGTGATAAACCTGTTGGTTTAAAACTTAATTTACGTAACTTTAAGCATAAAAAATCAACATCTTCTGTGTGCATTCATATATCAGCAATGTCTGGCGATTCAAGTTTATGCCCAATTATCTGTTTACATGCTTATTTAATTTTATGTCCTCATGAAACTGGCCCACTTTTTCAATTAATGGATGGATCTCCAATTTCGTATTTTTTCATAACTTAAAAACTGAGAAATATTTTAGAATTCTTGAATTTGAATCCTAAGCTTTACAAATTGCATTCGTTTAGAATTGGCGCCGCGAGTAGTGCATTTATTGACGGTCATTCAGAGGACGCCATTCGTAGGTTCGGCCGTTGGAATTCATCAGCAGTACGAAATTATATTCGTGTTCCTAATCTTTGTGTATAAGTTTTGCATTGTAGTCTCAAGTGCCAGGGTTAGCCTGAACTTTTGAATATGTTAATAGTTTTTAAGTTTGTTAATGTGTCAATAAGTTCCAAAGCTTTTACGTCAGATCGGAAGGTTAGTCACAATATTCCATTTTGAAGGAAAGCTTTGTTCCACAATATGTGGGTAGCGTAATGCAATTCAGTTAATGTTATGTGGAATTTGTATCAATGCGTTCGCCCAGCGCAAGCTTTGTAGGGTCTCTTTGCATTACGTATGAGCACAGGTTTCTGAGTAAAATATCAGTTTTTCCTGGGTGGCATCGAGGTCCAGTGATCAAAGGTGTTCCGCTAACATTGTTGTAGGCATATGTTTAGACGCTATAATATTTTATTTAGATTTTAACACATTTTGTTGTTGATGTTTTAAATGATTTACTACTATGGGTTTGAATAATTGCATCCTTTAAGACGTCAGCGCGAGGCTGGTCATTAGGGTCAAGATCTGTTTTGGTCAAACTGTATCGCGTGTGTGTTTTGAGTTTTTTGCGGACCTTGGATGGGTGGGTCTTCACGTTAACGTGATGACTTTGGCGGAATTTTATCTCCCATCTTTTCGATGGCTTTGTATATATTTTAAATTCTTTTGTTATATTCAAATTACATTACAATTTATTTGCATATTGTTATCGTCATTTATCTTAAATTTGAATAAATGATATTTACGCCATTTGTAGTTTAAGATTTGCCATCTCAAACGAGCAAGGTCCGCAAAACTCTTGTTTGCATAGGGGGTTGGAAGCTACACAAATGCATATTTATTGTTTTATCTGTGATAATTAAAATGTATTCTTCCACAAGTTAAGATACAACTATGTATAAGAAATACCAAAGTAGCAAGAGTATCAACAAAAATGTTTTTCGAATGACGAAAACAAATAGAACGCCATGTCAATTATATTAAGTATTGTATCAACAGGTTGATTGTGTATTGTTGATAATATTAACATAACACCAAGTTATTACTACATTCTATTCAGTATATTGACCTTGAACTACATATTTAAATTCCTAACAATTCTCTTCGTTTGCAACTGTTTAGACTCTCAAAAGAATTGAAAATACGTTTCGTCAGCACTTTCTAAGCAAATTATTAGAATTATTTAGATTGAAATAGATATTGGCTACAATTCATGGATAGAACTTTCATACTTACTGCCTGATCTGTAGTATATTTTCAAATATCTTAGAGAAAACAACCGACCAAGATCAACCAGCCACCACGCCCATGGTGAATAACCAGTATCAATACAATCGAAATATGATCTAATACTTTTACTACCATCTACTGCTTCCTGTGGTCCTGTTTCTGTTTCCTGACCAGATTGATTAGCTGGTTTTTTATATGCTATATTCTCTGAAAATAGCATAATTTTATAAATATTCAGGTGAAAATCGACATAAAAAACTGAAATTAGAAAATAATAATTAGATTTATTGAAAATATTGTTTTAAATACCTGACATTTCATATTATTTGAATATAATATATAATAAAACCCCAGTTTCACTGGTTGATTGTTTGCGAACCATTGGCGATGAAAAATGTGGACAATCGCAATGATATATGCAGGCAGAATGTTCGCCGTGCTTCTGCGATGATCACAAGGCATTTATGGCGATGCATTCACGACATTTTATCTCGACATCAGTAGATGTGATCAGCTGATCCATCGTAGAATATCGGCGAACATCGCAGAACTGTCTATTACTATTAAGTGGACCTTTGCAGAATCATCTCCGATGCAAATTTAATGAGACTGCTTCATTTTTGTTAAGATTATGTTGCTATCTATGGCAGGTCATTTCCACATTTATTTATGCAGATAATTAGCAGGCTCCTAAATGTAAGCAAAATAAACGCCTTATTGTAGAGAATTCATCAAGTAATACATAGATATAAATAGCATATTTAATAGTCATGTATAATTTACGACGTTTTTGCATAATGAAATTTTTGCATAATGCTCCTTTGAGATAAAACTTCTTTGAATTGTGCTCATTTACCGTTATTTACAGATTAGTTGGCGATGTTCCTTTATTTTTATACAATTTATTTCTACAGATTGATCCTCAATATTTGATTAAACAACTAGTTATAACAATTTCGCTATTCTAGGTCACATGGGTTGGTACTACATTAAATTTCGAATTCGTCAAAAAAACAAAGAAAAATGATAAAGCTGTTACTTGATCCTTTTGATCATATACCTAAATACGAAGGCTTACGACAACTGGTAGATATGTAGAATATAACAAATCGTGTTCAGCAATCAATTGCAACTAAGCATAAGTTAACCGTCATAAAATATACAAATACAATTCTGCTTCTGGGGTGAGACAGCTATATTAATATTTGTCATATGCCATTGTTACAGTATAAAGATTTATGTATCTAATATTCTATAATTTCAGAACGTACGAATTTTGAGATTTTGACTATTTTTTCCACAGAAATACAAATTACCTTGTTGACAAGAAGGTCCTACCCATGATGAAGAACAACCATTATAACAAAAACCATTTTGACCATTACATTGAATATCACTGATACAATGACAGTTATAACTATTGTTATATCCAAAATTATAACCTGAAAATATAACAATATAAACATTTACTATAGCCAACACTAGTTACAGTATCACATGTTTTATTATTTAAACAATGACAGGTATAAATATTGTTAAATCTTAAAATCATAACCTATAAATATATCAATATAAACATTAACTATAACAAACACTTGTTACAGTATCACATCTTTTATTATTTAAACAATGACAGGTATAACTATAGTTAAATCTTAAAATTATAACCCATAAATATATCAATATAAACATTAACTATAACAAACACTAGTTACAGTATCACATGTTTTATTATTTAAACAATGACAGGTATAACTATTGTTAAATCTTAAAATTATAACCTGAAAATATAACAATATAAACATTAACTATAACAAACACTAGTTACAGTATCACATGTTTTATTATTTAAACAATGACAGGTATAACTATTGTTAAATCTTAAAATTATAACCTATAAATATATCAATATAAACATTTACTATAACAAACACTAGTTACAGTATCACATGTTTTATCATTTAAACAATGACAGGTATAACTATTGTTAAAATAAAATTATAACCTGAAAATATAACAATATAAACATTAACTATAACAAACACTTGTTACAGTATCACATGTTTTATTATTTAAACAATCACAGGTATAACTATTGTTAAATCTTGAAATTATAACCTGAAAATATAACAATATAAACATTAACTATAACAAACACTAGTGACAGTATCACATGTTGTATTATTTAAACAATGACAGGTATAACTATTGTTAAATCTTAAAATTATAACCTATAAATATATCAATATAAACATTTACTATAACAAACACTAGTTACAGTATCACATGTTTTATCATTTAAACAATGACAGGTATAACTATTGTTAAAATAAAATTATAACCTGAAAATATAACAATATAAACATTAACTACAACAAACACTTGTTACAGTATCACATGTTTTATTATTTAAACAATCACAGGTATAACTATTGTTAAATCTTAAAATTATAACCTATAAATACATCAATATAAACATTAACTATAACAAACACTTGTTACAGTATCACATGTTTTATTATTTAAACAATGACAGGTATAACTATTGTTAAATCTTGAAATTATAACCTATAAATATATCAATATAAACATTAACTATAACAAACACTTGTTACAGTATCACATGTTTTATTATTTAAACAATGACAGGTACAACTATTGTTAAATCTTAAAATTATAACCTATAAATATAACAATATAAACATTAACTATAACAAACACTAGTGACAGTATCACATGTTTTATTATTTAAACAATCACAGGTATAACTATTGTTAAATCTTAAAATTATAACCTATAAATATATCAATATAAACATTAACTATAACAAACACTAGTTACAGTATCACATGTTTTATTATTTAAACAATCACGGGTATAACTATTGTTAAATCTTAAAATTATAACCTATAAATATATCAATATAAACATTAACTATAACAAACACTTGTTACAGTATCACACGTTTTATTATTTAAACAATCACAGGTATAACTATTGTTAAATCCAAAATTATAACCTGAAAATATAACAATATAAACATTAACTATAACAAACACTAGTTACAGTATCACATGTTTTATTATTTAAACAATGACAGGTATAACTATTGTTAAATCGTAAAATTATAACCTGAAAATATAACAATATAAACATTAACTATAACAAACACTAGTTACAGTATCACATGTTTTATTATTTAAACAATGACAGGTATAACTATTGTTAAATCTTAAAATTATAACCTATAAATATATCAATATAAACAAACACTAGTTACTCTATTATAGAAGCACTGGCGTAGGTCACAAGTAGGTACTCTGGATTTCAGCATTGGAATACATCAATTTGATAGGAAACTACCTACTTCTGGAGATAACAAGATAAACAAATAATTCAGAAATGCAAAGCGATTGTTTCAGGGAGTTAATGAAAGGGGATCTAATCTACCATGGACAAGAACATTACTCAGATTTTTATTCTTTTTGTAAGCAGTCACCAAACATTTATTATAGATGTGAGGAAATTCATCCTGATTCGTGTAATTTTCAATTAAAACTATAATTTCCACCTAGGTATTCAGTAAAATTTCCCGTATACTGATAAAAATAATGAAATTTTAATATAACATAGCTTACCTTTAACTTTAAATGTAATGCACGATTCAAATAATAACAAATAATAACTTAGACGTGTCCAGACTGTCATCATGTCTTATTACTCAATATGGCGAATCAGGAAGAAATATGCACTTATACATTATTCCCAGTCCAAGTTCATCAGTAGTAAATTTGTGTCAAAAGTTTCCTTATTGCATTACACACAATTGCCATTTGAATTCTTATAGTAGTGCATATGGTAGAGTCTTACTTTGTTAACTATATCCACCCCTCTCTAATGCATGTATACCCTAGCTTCTAACAGTGTACTATTTTAAAAATTGTAATAATATTTAATTATATCAGATCATATTATGATGTTGATCATGACTTAAAGTTATTATAACACCAAATAAATAAAGAAAAGGTTATTAAGCCCTCTCTACCATTGACTACCACTCAAATTTTCTAATTATTGAAGTATTGTCACTGAAAAACTTAATAATTGAAATCGGTTTTTGTAAAGGGAAAATATTTTGTAATTTTTATGTTATAGAATTGTTGTTTAGTTAAATCATATAGACTAAAGGATTTTCAAGAACATAAAAAGCTGTTGAATATTTATGAAATGACTGACAAAATTCAATTCAGGAATTACCGTTTATGAATATCCGTTTTAGACAACAATTTCTTAATTCGAATTTCCCGTGACGTTATTTGCAATATGTATTAAGGGAAATTTCCTTAAAGTTATATTGAAATGATATACATGTATATTCAAACATGAATTGATCCTGTTTGTTTGGACACATAATAGTTAACAGAAAGTTATATCATTATAAACTAGAACGAATTATCAACGAAGTGTCGTATATACATTATATAGAATAATCTTTGAAAGGTCAAGGAAGTCTTTTTATACACCTAACCATTGATCAATCAGGCTGAAATTCTTTTATTCAGAGTAGTAAAAATATTATTAAATATTCAGACAATACTAACTCTTTAAAGTATAAACTTATCTAAATTTTGAAAATAATCTATTAATTTTTTCAGCAGTTCAACAGTTCATTAACATTTCGTTAGTTTCATATATTTATTTATTACATTTATTGATTGAAATAGTTTTGAAATGTGTCTCTTGCAAAGTTTCAACTACTCCTTGACAAAACTGTTCTTTTGTGGCGATAATTGTAAAATATTTGTAGTGAGTCTGTAATAATGAATGAATGATTTAATAATTATAGTTATTTGATTATTTCTTATCTTTTGAATGCGTTAATAAATTTTGTTTTCTTTCTTTGATTTTGCGATTGTATATAGAAACTTTATATGTCACCATTTTGTCCAGATTTATTTCTGTATTTGTACAATTATCAAATTTAGAGAAGTATGAAAGGCCATGGTTTAAATACAGTTCATTGCTAGGTTTTAGACACTTAAATTTTTTAAATTTTGATTCTTTCTTCTCTTCGAATTAACGATTCCATCGCCTGTTAAAGGGACTGTGGCGCCGTTTTTTTCCCAATCGTACCTTAATCTCAGAAACGGAATCTTTCCCCTAAACCAATCAGTAACAGTATTCACAGCTCACCGTCAAAATTTGAGCCTTCAAATCCATGTGTCTCCAGAATTATCCGCATTTGAAAGTTAAAAAGACATATTGCATAGATTTATATAGATTCAAGACTCAAAATCAACCCCCTAAAACGACAGAGCTGTCCGTTTAAGGGAACTAACTCATGGTAAAAATTATTTTGGTTTTTCATCCATGATATATAGTCATTTTATGCCATGTCCATATTGTTACCGACTAAACTGAAATTATGCTGGGTGTTTCAGGTAAACAATCCTTATCAGGAAAGCCAGTTTTGAAATGAGAGGTTGATTGAAAAATGGAATAAAATATACGATAAAAATAATTTATTAGAATAAATGGAACTAATTGAAAACTGTAAAAATATAAAAAATATAAATAACTTATCTATGTTTGATTGTGAAACTTTGAAAACAAAAAAAAATTCGAAAATAACTCGCCAATAGAATTTGTTTTTTTTAAAGGTATATAACCATTTAATAATTGCTTTATTGGAGGATGCAAATATATTTACAATGACTGTATTACGCGAGCCTTTCAGAATGAAATTCGATGTCCAATTTGCTTATAAACTAAAATGAACTGCTTTGAATCCAAAAGATTTCAGTCTTCAAGCTTATGTCACCCATTGCCTAGGATTGTGAAACAGACGGTTAAATCAGGAATCAGCAACTAATAAATATATATAACAAATAAACAATCATAAGCAATGTAGGTTGTCAAGTTGACAGCCTCAATCGCTGAGTGGCTTCAGATGCACCAGAAAGATTTCCTTTAAATCCGTAAATCTTCAAATCCATGTATTCCCTACCAACAGAAACCAATATAATATTGACTTGAATTGTAATGGATAAATTAAAGTAGGTTTTCCGTCTGTGATTTTAAAACTATTTCAACTGAAGCACGACAAGGAAGTTGGTAATTGGCAAAAAAGTGTGCATTTGCTTCTTCTGCAGCACAGCACATGTTAATAAAAGTCTTTATCATGGGCCACTGGTCTCATAACACCGTAGTTATTGAGGTTGATTGCCTTAAGTTACAGCTGCTAGCTCGGTCTTCTTAAGATTAGCAACGACAAATGTTTGAGTCAAATTTATAAAAGAGGTCTCAAAAAATAGTCGTCTTCCTTATTTCAGACGGGATTATCTAGAATAAGTTCCATTGGTGATCATGATAAAAAAACAGACAAAGGACAAAAAAAGGACAAAAAGCTAAAAATGAGCTAAAGCAGTAAGTTACAGTTAGTATTCACAGATTAAATGATTCGGATCATTAACTTTCAGAGATTTGCATAAGTACTCGAGGCTTTAATATATTCTAGAGCAAATCTGTGGATTTTGTTGTATTCATCCTGGAATTAAAACAAGACATGGTTACTTCAATAAAACAAAACCAAAAACCAATGTAATTTAGTATCAGCAAATTAGATCTGATCGTGGTGAGATAACAGCTACGGGTCTTTCAATCTGCTCTCCTCTTAGCAATAAGGAGGGCTAGAGGGACGAAAATAGACATGCAAATAAGGTTGATTACCAAGTACCATTTTAAAATTCATAACGTTCAAGATTAAGATTGAATTTCCGATTTGGGTTATATTGTGTTAAATAAGCTCTTACCAGACTATTGACTGTTTTTCCCAGTTGTTTGTGCATTTTTCGGACGAAGTTGAATACCTCGACCTCATTATCAAGTTTGATTCTCAGCTGAATATTTCTTAATACACAGAATAGTCTACCATATTGTAAATCACTGAAATTAGAAATTAGCATGAAATTGAGATTTACGTCTTGCTTTGTCTGTTCTCGGTGGAGCTCATGATATCGCCAGGTAGTGCGCAATGAGGAGACTTGTACCAGTTCATAGGCATGAGATTCACAAAGGTTCAACTTACACAACTTGTAGTACACGGCACACTATTGCTATAACTCGTATGACTAAAATGTCGCACTATGAGAAAAATGGTGTCCTCTTCGAATTTAACAACCTATCAGGGTGAAACTAGAAGGTCGTTTCGATGTACACAATGAAAATCTCATGTACGATTCTGAAGTATTTAGTGAAATGTAATACGCATAGGGGGTATAGCTAAAAATTAAGTCCTTGCACATTACCGGAAGTACCGGAAAAACGTACCTTGAAAACATGGTTAATGGTTTAAGGGGCTTCATATAAACATCTAGTTGTTCAATGACTTGTAACATATAATGAGATATAGTGGTAATATCTCTATATTTACCAATATCTAATATCAGTACAGTTATGGTCTGAGATATCTAGAAACAAAATCATACAACAAAATAGAAGAAGACTGAAAACAATTATTCAATCTTTAAATGAGTAGTGTTTTTTTAGTCTGTCCGGTATCGGCTGTTAACTCCCTTAACTATCCTTGGCTATTATGAACTTCTTGTTTAATTCTCTCTAACGCTGGGTTGGAGCAATTGATGAAATAGGTTGTCCTGATGAGAGTTTTATATCCAGGACACTGATAAATGTTATTGTAATTTATGAATACATTTCAATGGACACGCTGTAATTTTAGGTTGAATTTCAATGCTGGTCTGTCTTATTGTGACATTGGAATAGCTTGGCCGTGTTGTCCGCAAGGCCGGTGGTCCTGTGGAGTCAAACCCACGAAGCCAATGCTTTCGAGAGAGACTGCCTAGTACCTGGTTTCAACTGTATAACTACATTATGTAAACCATCAAATATTAAATTGGAATTGTGTTGAGATACAAGAAAACGAAAAGTATTATTGTATAAAACGTTTACTTGTTGAGTTGATGCTTGTATATTGATTACACTCAGTTCGTTGGTGATGGTCTCATCTGTTTTACTTTCGACGGTTATATCACCAAATACCTCTTCTGTTTTGACTTCTGGACAGATCGATAATGTATTCTGATAAAGATAAAGTGAAAAAAACGTGTCAAATATCAGGTAAGAAGCATCATCCTTGGTATTTTATTATATATACGTTTTTTTGTTGTAAACAGTACCGAACAAAAATTCTAAATATTATGATGCTCGGGCCATTTTATCTGAGGTTTGACTAGTGGTATTTTTAGTCGTAGAACTTTTCGATGATTTAGGATCGTATATTGAGTTTTGATCTAAAACAGAACTTAACGATAGGTACGGCTTTGAAGGATAAGCTTCAGAATCACTATCAAAATCTACCAGGAACGATATCCAAATCTTGCAGCAAAACATTGCTATTATGGAATTATGTGTAATTCAAAAGAATTGTTCTTCGTCAAACTTTTTTCGTTGCACTTAACCAAAGGACCTGGTTATGTTGGCAATTCAGTATGATTGGCATGAACCAAAATAGCTGGTATTTCTCCGAATCGGTTCTTCTGACTTTCTTACCCGTCCAACCTCCGTATCTGGTCTATTCGAAACCCTCGATATTAGTCTTGAAATTGTCTTTGAAAACGTAGAAACGCATACCGTATTATCTATAATGAAAATGGTAACTGGACACTGTCTATCAATCATAACTTTCCATATCGACTGCATGTCAAAATTCTGTAGGCTGTCGAAGAAATAACCCTTTCCTAGTGTATGAGACTGAAAATAAAATCTTAGATTACAACATTGCTACTGTACACAGCAGAGATTTATAATTGGAAGGAAACTCTAATCCCATATCAACGTATTTCAAATATGGATCATTCAATAACTATTTCTATAAAACACACTTCACTGCACTGCGTTCTTAAAGCAAGGCCTATACAATTTCTAATACAAAATTACACCAAAAGAATATTTCTCACCGAAAACTTGTGAACGGTCAGTTTGTCGTTTACATACAACATGCCTTTATCTGAAATATGCAGTAGACACAAATTTTAAGATATACCATTTACGGGACGACGACGGACAACTTGGTATATACAACGACTGCTAGCAACTATCAACATCAGATCAATATATAAATCAAATCGACTGAAGTGCAAAGATGACTGAAAAAATCGCAGTACACATTAGTTACTTCTCGTCGACCAGAGCGGTTGAAGTTTGCGACTTTCCAGTTGAGTCTTCTTTATGATCTAGAAGAGTCGACACGATCGTAGAAGGCCTTTTTGAAAGGGGGGGGGGGGGGGGGGGGGTATTTTAAATATCATATATGAACCCTGGATGTTAAACTCATTTTGATAAGAAGTGATAATCAAGACCCAAAAACAAGGAATGAAATATATACCTTCCACCGTCTGTATTGACTGTAAATTCTCGAAATGGTCTTTTATACTCAAGTTACCCATTATCATACCAGTACCTTGTTTTGGGTATTTTTTCTCAAAAGCATGTACACTCAGACTAGTATCACCTTTATTCAAACCTTCAATCAAAGCTTCGAACACAAACTGTAGTTGTGACTGTTAAACAAAAAACAAAATAAAGCTCAATGAAATCTTTCAAGTGAACGAAACTTCTCATCTATTCAAAATGAAATAATCCCATAACAAGTTAATTACGTTTCTTTAGTATAAAAATATTATAAAGATATCCCCCAGTACTCGAATTTATATATAACATGACTGTTTTGTTACGGGTTAAGGAGTCAATAACTTATTTTAGACGAAACATGCATCTTATTCGTTACCGGTCTAAAAACTGAGAAAACTCACAGAAGTCTGGACCATTCCTTTCCGCTGATCTCTTAATTCTTTAATGCATTTTATAACATCGACGTTCCCGGTTTTCTTGCAGTCTTGTAGACAAATATCTACTGCTATATAAGTACCAGTTCTTCCTACTCCAGCACTGTACAACAGGAATATCAAGATCTTAATCAAGTCAATAAAGGGCGATAACTCAAAACTTAAACTTCACACGATGATCACAACAAATTTCCTCGAAAGCAATTGAAAACTGTAACTTTTGTTCTGCTAAAAAATGTTCTTCTAATATGGTCCAATTCGAAAAGTTACTCTCTGATCACATGCTTGTCACATATTTATGTAGATGGGTATTTTTGCTTACAAATAATAATGGAATAACTAGCGTAATGCTGATAGTGAAGTGCAAAATGTCTTTGAAAATGTGCGTCCTGAATTAACGTATTAAAAATGACACAAAACACCGAAACTGATTGGGTAATGCCAATATTTGGACGACTGTATTTCTATTAAAAAAGACTAGTGGACAGTAAAGCTAAGGAAGCTCTGAAGGACTATCAGTAAAAAACCTTTACTCACCTACAGTGGATAATATTAGGTCTATCAGAATGTGGTGGTCGTTTATTGACAGTGTAAAGAAAATCTAATAAATCGTTGACTTCAGGAACATCGTGGTCGGGCCAGCTGGTGTAATGGTATTGATAAAATCTATGTTTAGACGTATCCTGAAAATTTATTTTTGATGATTGAACATGCAACTTGATCTACTGTTTTAAAACGTGTGCATAATGCGACTTTGTTTCATTAAAGTTCTAAAAATGTTCGTAGACGTTTATCTCAATTAATCGTGTTTCAAAAATTGCCATTGGTATAAGCAATATGTTTATTTTGAATGAGCTAAGGCAAGGTATGGGTCTTCCACAATCATTTCTTTTCGTATTTAAATGTCAATCACTCAAATATAAAGATGACTTGAAATCTTGAATCCAAACAAAATTTATGTTTTCGGCACATTTTTATATAAACAGAACGAGTTTATTTCCATACAGTTTACTTTACTGTTACTTAAATTGGCGTTTAACTATCAGTTGAAAATAAACAGTTCATTATCAAAATATCATTGTTTTTGATTAAAGGTATACTACCTTAGGATGACCAAAAAAAAACTTAAATTGTTAAACTTTGTTCATCAGTGGACTTACATTGTGTCAAAACCATACGACAAAATCCCTCTATAATCCAATAAATCCATAAAACTCAGTAATTTTAAAATACGCTTAGAAGCGTCTTTATTTAAATGTTTTGAGAAAAAAAGAAAGAAACTTACTTTTGAAATACTAATAGTACGAATTGTGTAATTTGCTCTGACTGATTCGTCTTCAACTGTAAGATACAAATCTCCGAACATTTCTGATTTATCTTCTGGCCAGTATTTCTCACATTTATGCTGTAAAAATTGAGAAATTCTACATATATTTCATTAATATCACATATGCTGACTCGGCGCATCCATGGTATATCTCAAATTTAGCGACTATTCGGGTAAAAATACATAAGTGAGCAAGTGATAATGTTTCAATTATGTCAACTATTCTGACCCTGAGCATTCATGACAAATTTCCCTCCCCTCCTCCGACGTCACCAAGCTCCGCCACTTTCATAGGGCGTGGCTTAGATCAGGTACGAGTAGAAATTGATAACTGAGGAAGTGATGATAAGCACATATCTTCCATGACTTTTCTTTGCCCCGCTGATATTTATCCGATGCATTGTATACATTTTATGATACTCTAGTCTGTTTGCACGAGGTCGAGAAACCCGTTGACTTTTAAAATGTAGGATACTTATCTTACCTTGCCCATTTCAAACAAATTTGTTAACATAATCACTTTATCGCATTTCTGACCCCAGATCATTCGTACAAAATCGTTTTTAGTTACAGCTGTAGCTCCTAATAATTCAAGAAGATGTATGAATTAGAGAATATAGTAATAGCTGTCATGTGTCATGCAAGGTAACAAAATAGTTGTTGCTCCATAAACCAAAATATATAGTAAAATTAATATAAAACCATCATGAAATAGAATAAAAGTAAAACAGACACTTCTCGAGGGAAACTTGCATTGAAATTTCCAAATTTGTGTATATCGAAAGCAAGTTAAATTGACGAATTTTCAATATTTTATGAGAGTACATCTGCAATGTAACAACGACTCATCCATGTAAAACTATATCGAGCTTACCTTGAGCAGCTATATATGCTTTCTTCTTGCTATAACCCTGTTATTAAGCAATTTAAAACGATTATATCAGATTATTATTTATTTCTTTTAGAGTTAAGAGTAATGTAAGAGATCAAATAAATAAAAGAACATTTTTAAGCATCAATTATTTACTGGCGAGACCATGCAATCAGTAACGATATAAACGGTGAAATTAATGTTAAAAACTTGTATAAATCTATCAAATGCTTTTTAAGCGTAATATTGACGAATTTTACTTACATTTATATAGTTGGCGTTAATAAAATCTGAATGTGGATCACCGGCAATTTTTTCCATTTTAACTCTTGTGTGGTCATCTATAAAAGTAATTCAGGTGGATCTGATATCAGTCCTATCAAAATTTATAGCATGGAAATGTCATTAATATTCAAAACGACTGTCAAAATAACCAAGTGTTCAAACTAAAAACCACTATACCAAAAGAGTTCATTGTTTCATTGACAATGTGTCATCTTATGTGGGATGAGTAATATATCATAGGTTTCTGCTAGGCTATATTGGGTCTGTGCGTCAAAACCCGTAAAATTGTCTTTGGGGTTCAATCAAAATAGATGAAATACCATTTGATTTCTTGCCAATGTTATACTTTATTTTTAGCAGTAAGTGTGAAGAGATCTGATTCAATTGTAACTTACAAGGATAATAGCCTTTAAAACGACTTTTCTTCCTGTTTTCAGTAATCTGTGATGCGTCAAATGATGATGTCCATTCGTTTGGCAATTTCTGAAAGTAATAATATGAAATGAAATAAATTACTATTTTCGCAAAATGTATTTGCGTAGAAAATTATATCCAAATTGATAGTAAATACTTACCGAATACAATCCTTTGAAGCCATGATTCTGTTTAGTTCTTTCTACATATTCTTTTAATTCGGAGAATGTCAATCGAGATTTGGATTCTTCTTTATCGTTCACGTAATCATTACAGTCTTCATCATCCAGTTCATCAGCTGACTGATCATCTTCGGTGTCGTCACCAGCGTCTAGTGTTGGAGAACTATGAACGGGAGACACTTTAACTGTTGTTTTATTATTAGTAGGGTCATTATCAGTTCCCATGACCTCGGAATTTTCATAGATATTTCCAGCTGAAAAAGATTTTGTAATATGATCATCGTTGAGTTGAAGTTGTCGGTATTAGTGTGACGAGTATCTATAAAACCTGTGCCATAATCAAATAGTGTACGTGGATATATTTCAAATAGATTATTAAGATGACAGTTATAAAGTTTTCTTCAAAATGTTAGAATCAAATTCTACCTGGTTTAAAAGGCCTTTTCACAACATGGTGCATTTCTTCATCTTTGACATTTGGTGGCAATTTTCGTCTTCTCCTGGAAAATAGTTTAACATAAAGACGGTTTTAGTGATATTCCTAGAAACATCATATGGAAATTAAGCGTCACTTCACAGAGTAAAAGTTTGCTCTTCTGCCTCAACAAAAGACAACTCGTCTTTTTAACTTTCAAACGCGGATTATTTTGGACACACATGGATTTGAAGGCTCAAATTTCGACGGTGAGCTGTGAACACTATTACGGATTGTCTTAGCTAAAAAGAAAATTCCCGGTTTGAGATTAAGGTATGATTGGTCAAAAAATGCCACACCTGTCCCATTAAAGAAAAGTTGACTGAACAAAATTGACAAAACAATCTGTGAATAACAATACTAAAACTATGTTGAATGAACATACCAAATGACAAATAGTATAGCCATGATCAACAATAAAACAGCGACACAAACCACCACGGCGACAGTTGTTGTATTGCCATCTATAAACAAAAAATATGAAATTATAATTAACTCTATAAAAACAGTGGTACATGCAAATGACTCTTGTTTTTTTTAGCAGGAAAGGTATTAAATTTTAACAAAAAATAAATACTCTCGATTCTGCCATATGTTGGACGAGATTTTGATTAATAGAATTGTCTTGCTTTTTATGATATATATGAAGCTAGGATGAAACGACTTCAGACCATTGAAACATCTCAGTTGAAGTTCTGTTATAATATTTCTATACCAGTTTATTAATCATTTCATGTATTGAACAGTATCTTTCTGGTTTTTTAAGTAAATTATTAAGCAAAGTTTACAGCTCTGTATTTTTGATGCAAAGTTTTCTTGTTTTGGGTAAGATAATTCTACTAAATGATATTCATCTTAATAATAAAAAATACATTTATAAAGTTACAGGTAAATTAAAGATATTTCAGTTTCTCGATGGGTGAAGTGTGATAAAACTGACTGGAAGAACTTATAAATGAAATGAAATGAATGGAGTTTTACGCCCTACTTTAGGAAGAACTTGGAAGGACTTAAACATTCGTGGATAGACTATTTAATAATGTCGATGTTATTAACTTTATTAGTATGCAGAGATTGGGGGGAGATGAAGGGCTTGCTTTATTGTTTGTAGTAAAATATGCTACGGGGAAAATAGTGCTTATCCATGTTGATATTTTGAAACGTGCTTCATACCTGAAGGGGATGCTACAATTCTCATAGAACAATCATGCCCTTGAAAGTCATCTAAACATCCAGTTTGACTACAGGTACCATTTATTTGATCACATGTTGAATTGACACCTTTACAATTTCTTTCAGAACATAATTTATTACAACCAGCACCAAAACCATAATAACCATCAGAACAACCTAAATGAAATTAAGCATGCTATCCAATACCCTAACCATTAAGACAATATTAAGTGTACATTACCATTAAAATATCAAAACAAAAGCTACACAACCAAAAACCTAACTATGATCTATAATAGTCTAAGCATCATGTAAACAGAAACGTCCATAATATAAATTAAGATAATATTATATAGTCATCTCCCTTTGGCACGTTTAGTAATAGAAACCTTTGAGAGGGATAGGGTCCAGGGCAAACTTTACAATAACTAATCCTAATTACTGTGGATGCTGAAAATTGAAACAGTAAAATGTTAGAGCAAACTTAGGTAGTGTCAGAAAGACAAACTATTGCAGATTTGTGATTACCAAGAAAAATTTGAGAAATAAGAGAGAAAGTCCGAAATACATTTTACATTTCTTCTTTGGTATACCTATGTAATTTGAACAGTCATTTCCTTCATAATACTCTAAACAACCCGCATCACCACAGTCACCGCTTTTCTGATCACAAACAGTCGAGTTTACTTTACAAAATCTCTTTGAGCATTGATTCTGACACACGGGATAACCATATATACCTTCTGGACATCCTATAGATAAAGATCAAAATGTCAACCTATTGGTCTTGTATCCAGGACCAAGTTTACATTATCTTACATGGTGTGGATATTGTTTAATGATGCAGGTGTAAATCTAGGTAATGTTAATAGGGCAAACTATTGTAATTCTGTGATTACCAAGTAAAATGTCCAAAAGAAATTGGAAGGACAGAAATTCATAAAATAATATTGATATGGAGATGCATTCTATTTTTCTGCTGGTATTTATTGAATTGAAATATCCGTCCTTGATTATAGGTATACCTGTGTAAATTGAACAGTCATTTCCTTCATAATACTCTAAACAACCCGCATCACCACAGTCACCGCTTTTCTGATCACAAACAGTCGAGTTTACTTTACAAAATCTCTTTGAGCACTGATTCTGACACTCGGGATAACCATATATACCTTCAAGACATCCTATAGACAAAGTGTAAATTGTCATCCTATTGGTCCTAACAGGGCCAACTATTGGGTGGTTTTAATGTTATGATAAAAAGTAAATTGGAAAGGTGAAATAATTTAGTGTAGTCATGCCTTTTTTCAGATTATATATAGGCCCAAGGTAACTAAGATAAAGATCAAGTCAAGTTATATAGTAAATGTAATAAATATAAAGTGAATATGAAGAAATGAAATATCAAAGTAAATAATTATAATCTATATAGAAGCCATTCAGAGCTTACCAATATATTGTGTACAATCTACACCATGATAATAATCTAGACAACCATCTGGACTACAAGCTCCAGTTTTATGATGACAGGTAGTAGAATTAATCTTACAGAATCTTTCTGAACATGATGAGTTGCAGTTTAAACCATAAAATCCAGTATCGCATGCTGAAGTAGAATTCATTAATAAGAATTGAAATAAAATTTAATCAAAATGGAATATTTTCCTGAGGTCAACTCCACATGCAATTCAAGATCTTGCGAAACTGATAAGCAGCATATGTTCTAGGTTACTAGAATATTCAACCATTCAAAAGGTCTGTTCAATTAAAGCCTGGCAGCATTCTGGAATATTCATGTGACAGCCGACTTTGTAACGGTCTATATTGGTCGACATAACTTATGACAAATTTTGATGCTATTGGATAAAAAAACATCGACTGAGCACAATTTCAAAATGAATCTTGTCAGATAATGGAAGACCAGTGTATAATTAGCCTACTGAAAAAAACATGAAACAAACGTATGCATTCAATCATACTGAAGAGAATCACTGTAATGGTAAACAACTTCCCGCATACGATAATGATGCACTTACGTTGTGTACAGTCGATTGTTCTATAACCAGCCTGACATTCACCAATACATTTACCATCTATATTATTACAAGATGATTGATCTAGACAGTTTCTATCTGAACATTGTTTATTACAATTCTCACCATAACTTCCTTCACATTCTGAAATATGACGTGTCGAATTTAGAAGTACATCTGCCATCAAATTAGGCTGCAATCTTATTAAGGGAACATGGTTTTCGTACTTGTTCAGTGGCATGGATGCTTTGATACATCTGTCTGTAAAATACTTTTCAAAACAAACATCATATCTACCTAGAGTACAATCAGTTCCCCGATATCCTGGTTTACATCCATTGATACATTCTCCTGTTACATGATCACAAGTTAAAATACCAGAACATTTTCTATCTGTACATCTCTTACTACAATCCTGACCATAACTGTCTTCACATTCTGAAATAAAGTTAGTGTACCGGTACATAAATATCAACTTCCCTGATGTACAGACATACATAGTCATGGTGATAACACCTCTAGATATAAGAAAATTTTGAATTACTATAGTACGTATACAACACTGGGTACTAATTAGATATTAGATCAAGCTGAGGTACCAAATAGCTTTGAGGAAGGGACTGAGGTCCTAACACTTATTGAGATACCAGAATACAAACAGGGTTTGAGACGCATCGAAATATCAGTCCATATGGAGAGAACAATACTCAGTTTGATACTAAAACGCACTGAGATATAGAACACATTGGGGTACTAGAACATATTGAGGTATTAGAA